GCGGTGCGCCGGCCGCAGCGCGCCGGCCGCGGCGGCCATTGGAGGGTGAACCAACGGCAAAGGAAGACCTTTCTCTCTGTCTCTCTTTCTCACTGTCCACTGTGCCTGTCAAAAAAAAAAGAAAAAAGAAAAAAGAGAAAAAAAAAAAAAAAGAAATTTCCTCAGCTAAATAAATATTCAACAGCTCACAGCTCATTGTTTACAAGCTCTCCTTTCCACACAGTTGAAGGATGCAGTTCAACTATGCTGTGCACCACACTGTAGCAAGGATCTCCTTGCTTCTGGTTTCCAAACACATGTTCCTCCTTCCCTTCTTGAGCCCTCAGCAGAGGCACCTTTCAAGTTCATCTTTCTACCAGAATTATGTTTATGACAATATACATATTCTCTAAGAAAATACAGGTTTTCTTTACTGTGTTCCTGTGTTCTGAGCCTTAACCAGAAATACCTTTAACTTCCATTATTTCTACCAAGAGTCTATTCAACATTTCTGTTTTTCTATCATTCACCTATAAATTCTTCCAGCCTCTACCCATTTCAAAAGTAACTTCTACATTCTTAGTTACTTGTTAGAGCAGTAATGCACTTCCTATTACAACAACTGTATTAATTTCTTGTGGCTGTTTTAACAAATTACCACAAATGTGGTACCTTAAAACAACTGACATTGTTCTTTCACAATCTGGAAGCAATGTCTGAAATTGGTATCACTGGGCAAAAATCAAGGTGCTGTACTTTCTCTGGAGATGCTAGAAGAGAATCCGGCCTCTAACGGTTAAGCATTCTTTGGCTTGTGGCCACATCACTCTGCCCCTGTGTCAGACTGCCTTCTACTCTCCTGTCATCAAACCCTGTCTCCTTCTGCACCCCTTTCATTAGGCGACATGTGATTACATTCAGGGTCCACCCACATATTCCAGGATAATTTCAAGATCCTTAACTTGATCACATCTGCAAAGTGGGTTTCTGCCGTATGAGGTCACATTCACAGGCTCCAGAGATTAGGACATAGTTGTCCTAATGCTGAGGGGTGGGTGGTGTCATTATTTAGTCTACCACAGATACACATTTTAATCACTCTCTCTGCCTTCAACCCCTTTTGAAACAATTGTTTCAATTAGTTTTATAATGTGCACAGCATAATTATCAATGTTCACAAATGAATATATTAACAATGTTTGTGGGATCAGAAACGCACCAAGAGAAATTTAAATAGACTCTACATAAATAAAAAGTAGAAAATGTAGATCTTTCTCTTCACCTTTGACATCTGGGAAAATAAGTGATTTCCACAATCACAGTAAAAAACCCACAGAAGCTGCGGTTGGGGATGGCATCTGCAGTTGAGACTCTGCTTGGGACTCCTGCATCCTATACTGGAGTGCCTAAATTGAGCCCTAGCTACTCCACTTCCAATCCAGCTTCTGCTATGCAAGTCCTGGGAGGCAGCAGATGGTATTAAAGTGCTTGAGTCCCTGCTACCCGTGTGGGACATTTGCATGGAGTTCTGGGCTCTGGCTTCAGCCTGACCTAGTCCTGGCTGCTGGGTACATTTGGGGAGTAAGCTGGCAGATGGAAGATGTCTATCTTGTCTCTTTTACTCACTTTCAAATAGAAAATGAGAATAAATGAAAACCTGTGAGGCTAGCGTTGTGCTGCTGATTAAACCATAGATTGCGATGCCTGCACTGCATCTTGGAGTGCTGGCTCAAGTCCCTGCTTCTCCGCCTCCAAGCCAGCTTCCTGCTGAAGCGACCAGGAAGGCAGCAAATGGCAAAATACTTACGCTTCCGCCACTCATATTAGAGATCAGGATGGAGTTCCTGGCTCCTAGCTTCTACTTGGGGTCTGTGGCTGTTACAGACATTTGGGGAGTGAATCAGTGGATGGACAATCTTTCGACTTCTCTCCAGCTCTGTTACTCTGCTTTTGAAATAACAAACTTTTAAAATACAAAATAAATAGAGGCTGGCATTGTGGCATAGAGGGTTAAGCCAAAGCCTGTGATGCTGGCATCCCAAACGGGTGCCAGTTCAAAATCAGACCCCTCCACTTCTGATCTGGCTCCCTGCTAATGCACCTGTGAAAGCAGTGGAAAATGACCCAAGTACTAGGACTCCTGCAACCCATGTGGGAGTCCCAGAAGAAGCTTTGTGCTCCTAGCTTCAGCCTGGCACAGCACTGGCTATTGTGGCCATTTGTGGAATGAATTATTGGATGAAAGATCTCTGTGTGTTTTTTCCTCTGTGATTCTTTCAAATAAATAAAAACAAATCTTTAAAAATAAATAAATATGAATTTTTTTTTCAACTGATAAATGCAACTCTGATAAGAAAAGTGCTATTATAGAGAAGGGCATAGTAGTTAAGAGGCAGTATTAAAACATCCATGTCTTGTATCGGAGTGCCTGAGTACACTACTTGGCTCTAGCTCCTGACTTCAGATTTCTGATAATGAGGACCCTAGGAGGCAGCAGTGATGGCTCCAGTGATTGGGTTCCTGCTATCCACCTGGGAGACTAAGTTGATTTCTAGCTCCTGAGTTTTGGCTCTAGCCCAGCCCAGGGGCATTCTGGGCACTGAGGGAGTGAACAAACAGCTGGGAGGTGTTCCCTAAATTCCTATTTGTCAAATATTTAAAATAGTGAATATTTTTAGGAAGAAGGTCCACCCGGGAAACAACAAACTAAAGATCACGATTACAGGGTTAACTGAAATGGTAGGGAGGCAAACACCGTGACAACTAAAGACTAAATGTGAGTTCTTTTTTGAAAGAGTTACAGAGAAAGACGGGGCTAGAGGGAGGGAGAGGGAAAAGAGAAACACAGAGAGACAGAGATATCTTCTATCTGCTGTTTCACTCCCCAGATGGCCGAAGTGGCCAGGGCTAGGCCAGGCTAAAGCCAGGAGCTTCTTCCAGGTCTCCCATGTGGGTGGGGTGCCAGGTCCCAAATACTTGGGCCATCTTCCTCTGCCTCTCCCAGGCCATCAGGGAGTTGGACTGGAGACGGAGCAGCCAAGACATAAACTGGCACCCACATGGAATGCCAGCATTGCAGGCAGTGGCTTTATCTGCTATGACACACAGCCAACCCCTGAATATATATGATTTTTTTAAAAGGATTTATTTTATTTAAAAGGCAGACAGAGAGAGAGAGAGAGAGAGAGAGAGAGAGAGAGAGAGAGAAACAGAAAGACAGGTTTTACATCTGCTGGTTCACTCCCCATTGACCACAACAGCCAGGGCTGGGCTAGGCTGAAGTCAGGATCCAGGAGCTTCTTCAGGGTCTCCCACGACGGTGCAAGGGCCTAAGCACTCAGGCCATCTTCCATTGCCCTCCCAAGCCATTAGCAGGGAACGGGATTGGAACTGAAATAGTCAGGACCTGAACCAATGCCCACAGAGGATGGGAACATCTTTACCCACTACACCATGACACCAGCTCCAAATATGTGATTTTAAAAGTGCTATATAGGGGCTGGCGCTGTGGTATAGCAGGTAAAGCCACAGCCTGCAGAGCCAGCATCCCATACGGGCGCCGGTTTGAGTCCCTGCTGCTCTGCTTCCGATCCAGCTCTCTCCTCTGGCCTGGGAAGGCACTGGAAGATGGTCCAGGTCCTTGGGCCCCTGCACCTGAGTGGGAGACCCTAAAGAAGCTCCTGGTTCCTGGCTTCAGAAAGGCACAGCTCCGGCTGTTGCGGCCAATTAGGGAGTGAACCAGCGAATGGAAGACCTCTTTCTCTCTCTGCCTCTCTGTAACTTTGCCTTTTAAATAAATAAATAAATCTTAAAAAAAAAAAAAAAAAAAAAAAACCTGCTATACAGGGGCCAGCACTGTGGCACAGTGGGTTAAGCTGCCACCCATGATGCCAGCAATCCATATGGGCGTTGGTTTGAGTCCTGGCTGTTCCTCTTCCAATCTAGCTCCCTGCTAATGCTCTGGGAAAACAGCAAAAGATGGCCCAAGTGCTTGGGCCTCTACACCTACATGGTAGACCCCGAGAGCTTCCTGGCTCCTAGTTTGGCCTGGCCCAGCCCCGGACTTTGTGGCCATTTGGGGAGTGAACCAACGGATGGAAAACTTCTCTCTGTCTCTCCCTCTAACTTTGCCAAATAAATAAATAAATCTTTTTTTTTTTTTTTTGGACAGGCAGAGTGGACAGTGAGAAAGAGAGACAGAGAGAAAGGTCTTCCCCTGCCGCTGGTCCACCCTCCAATGGCCGCCGCGCTGCGGCCGGCACACCGCGCTGATCCGATGGCAGGAGCCAGGCACCTACCCCGGTCTCCCACGGGGTGCAGGGCCCCAGCACCTGGGCCATCCTCCACTGCACTCCTGGGCCACAGCAGAGAGCTGGCCTGGAAGAGGGGCAACCGGGACAGAATCCGGCGCCCCGACCGGGACTAGAACCCGGTGTGCCGGCACCGCAAGGCAGAGGATTAGCCTAGTGAGCCACGGCGCCGACCATAAATCGTTTTTTTAAAAAACTGGGGGCCAGCACTGTGGTGTAGCTGGTAAAGCCTCTGCCTGCAGTGCCGGCATCCCATATGGGCGCCGGTTCAGGTCCTGGCTGCTCCACTTCCAATCCAGCTCTTTGCTATGGCCTGGGAAAGCAGTGGAGGATGACCCGAGTTCTTGGGCTCCTACACCCACATGGAAAGACCCAGAGGAAGCTCCTGGCTCCTGGCTTCGGGTTGGCTCAACTCTGGCCGTTGCAGCCAATTGGGGAGTGAACCAGGGAATGGAAGCTCTCTCTCCCTCTCTCTCTCTCTCTCACTGCCTCTCCTTCTCTGTGTAACTCTGACTTTCAAATAAAAATAAAAATTAAATAAATAAATAAAATGCATGCTAACCCTAATGCAGGATGTAAGAAACAGTGACATTTAAAAAAAAAAAAAACTGCTATATATCAGATTCTGTCTTCCCTCAGACCTTTAAATTTTAAAGCCTGTCTAAACTCAACTGGAAAACATAATTAAAAATAAGTGTATTCTGTCCTTACCTCCACACAGTCAAAGTTCTCATCTACTTTAGATGCATATTCAACACGGAACATTGTTGACAGGCTACCAGCAATATAGTATAATAAGATCTTCAGTCCCTTGTAACCAAAAGCAGTTTCACTGAAACAAACAAAAACAATAATCAAAATGAATTTCTACAAAGTCATTAAAAAGCATTAGCCTGCATCTAAACAGATTTAACTTCATAAGTAGTTTCAAGATTTTAAACAATTTTTTTAGAAAAAGGAAAAAAATTTGCAAGAAAACTGGACTTCAGTTTTCATCCATAATATAGAATTTGTATGGGGCTGGTACTGTGGCATAGCAGGCTGAGCCTTCACCTGTGGTGCCGGCATTCCATATGGGTGCAGGTTCGTATGCTGATCCAGCTCTCTGTTTATGGCCTGGGATAGCACTGGAAGATGGGCCACTTCGTGTGCCCCTGCACCTGCTTAGGACACCAGGAAGAAGCTCCTGATAGGTCCAGCTCCAGCCACTGTGGCCACTTGGGAAGCGAACCAAAAGATCAAAGACCTTTCTCTCTGTCTCTCCTACTATAAACAAAATCTTAAAAAAAAAAAAAAAATCTGTGTGTCTTCCTTGCACAGGGGCCATGCTAATCTTCTCTGTATCATTCCAATCTTTAAGTGTATGTGCTGTCAAAGCAAGCACTAAAATATACAGAACAAGGGTGCCTAACTTAAATGTTTTAGGGTCAGATACTTGGTTCATTGGCTAAGATGCCACTTGGGACGTCTCTATCCCCTATCAGATTGCTTGGTACGAGTCCCAATTCTGTTTCTGATCCAGCTTCATACTGATGCAAACCCTGGGAGGCAGTAGATGTTGGCTTAAGTACTTGTGTCCCTGCCACCCACATGGGAGGCCTGGCTTGAGTTCTGGACTCCAGGCTTCAGCCTGCCCAGCCCTGAGGGCATCTGAGGAGTGAACTAAATGATGGAAGACTCTGTCTTTCTCTGCCTTTCAAATAAAATGAAAACAAATAAATTTTTAAAAAATGTTTTATTTTGGGGGCCGGGGCTGTGGTGCAGCGGGTTAAAGCCCTGGCCTGAAGCACTGGCATCCTATATGGGCACCAGTTCTAGTCCCAGCTGCTCCTCTTCCAATCCAGCTCTCTGCTATGGCCTGGGATAGCAGTGGAGGAAGGCCCAAGTCCTTGGGCCTCTACACCCAAGCAGCAGACCCAGAAGAAGCTCCTGGCTCCTGGCTTTGGATCAATGCAGCTCTGCCATTGCAGCCACCTGGGGAGTGAACCAGCGGATGGAAGACCTCTCTCCCTGTCTCTACCTCTCTCTGTAACTCTGTCTTTCAAATAAATAAACTAAATCTTTAAAAAAAAATGTTTTATTTTGGTCCCAGTATGTGGTGTAGCAGGTTAAGCCACCTGTAATGCTGGCATCCCATATGGCTACTGGTTCATGTCCTGGCTGTTCCTCTTCTGATCCAGCTCCCTGCTAATGGCCTGGGAAAGCAGTGGAATATAGCTCAAGTGGTTGGTCCCTGTCACCCACATGGGAGACCTAGAAGAAGCTCCTGATTCTCAAAGTTGGCCTGGCCCAGCCCCAGCCGTTGTGGCCATCTGGGAAGTAAACCAGTGGATGGAAGATCTCTCTCTTTCTGACTCTCACTTTCTCTCTGTAACTCTTTCAAATAATTAAATAAACATTTAAAAAATAAAAATGTTTTATTTTCATTTATTTGAAAGGCAGAGTGAGAGAAAAGAGATCGATCTTCCATCAGCTGATTCAATCCCAAATGCCTATAAGCCAAGAGCCCAGAACTCCATCTGGATCTCCTTCCTGAATGGCAGGGACACAAATACTTGAGCTATCATCTGCTACTTCTTAAGATACATTAGCAGGAAGCTGGATTGGAAGCAGAGGAGCCAGGACTCGAACCAGGCACTCTAATATAGGATGCAAGAATCCAAAGTGGCAGCCTAACCCACTGTGCCACAATACCTACCCTGAAAACAATTGAAAAAAATGTTTGGTCTACATGAGTAAGTTAATTTACCTAAATCACTTACAGTATCCACTAGCACATTGTATAAATACTCAGTAAATGTTAAACATTATCACCACTGCTACAGATGCTGCTACAATTACTGTTACTAGAAGGCATTTCAAATGAGACATGTAGTAGTAAACTAACTATGCTCTTGGCAGAGAAGCAGCGAAGACCTAGTTTTAAACTAATCCCTCCAACTTATCAGACCAGTCTGTCACCAAGATCCAAAGCTGCTGAAAGCAATGATAATATCTAGCTAACTACAGTTAAACTCCTCTAAGAACTAAGAAAACTCTGGAGCTCCTACTAATTTTTTCCAATCCTGCTCCCTGCCATCTACCATTACATCTATGTCTTGCTATTTCCTTTTCTAGCTCCAAGAATCTTCTAAAAAGTGAATCCCAAATATTCAAAACAGGTCAATCTAGAGAGACAGAAAATCAATTAGTGACTGCCTAAGACTAGAAAGAGTCAGACAGAGGGAAGAGGAATAACTGCTAATTAATTATGGAGTTTGGAATAGGAATGAAGTACATGTACTAAAATTTAAAATTGACTGTGGTAAATGACTGCACAAATTTGGAATATAACAAACACTACTGAACCATAAACTTTTTTTTTAAAGATTTATTTATTTGAAAGAATAAAACAGAGAGGAGAGGCAGAGAGAGAGAGAGAGAAAAAGGTGTTCCATCTGATGGTTCACTCCCCAATTAGCAGCAACGGCCAGTGCTGTGCCGATCTGAAGCCAGGAGCCAGGAGCTCCTCCAGGTCTCCCACATGGGTGCAAGGCCCAAGGACTTGAACCATCTCCTACTGCTTTCCCAGGCCATACAAGAGAGATGGATCAGAAGAAGAGCAGCCGGGACTTGAAACAGCTCCCATATGGGATGCTGGCGCTTCAGGACAGGGTGTTAACCCACTGTGCCACAGCGCTTGCCCCTAAACCATAAATTTTATTTATTAATTTTTTATTTGACAGGTAAAGTTACAGACAGTGAGAGAGAAAGAGAGAGACAGAGAGAAAGGTCTTCCTTCCATTGGTTCCCAAATGGCTGCAACAGCCAGCGCTGCACTGATCCGAAGCCAGGAGCCAGGTGCTTCTTCTTGGTCTCCCATGCAGGTGCAGGGGCCCAAGCACTCGGGCCATCCTCCACTGCCTTCCTGGGCCACAGCAGAGAGCTGGACTGGAAGAGGAGCAACCGGGACTAGAACCCAGTACCCATATGGGATACTGGTGCCACAGGCGGAGGATTAACCAAGTGAGCCACCGCGCTGACCCCAAACCATAAATTTTAAACAAGTGAGTTGTATGGTACTCAATTATATCTCAATAAAGTTGCTTTTTATCTTTCCACTTTTAAAAGATACAATGTCATTTCCAGATTTCCATCTAGATTTGTGAGACAAAATGTAAGCACACCCCTTCCAAGGACTCTGAAAATTACATGCAAAAGAAAGGTGTTCAATGATACCAGGATCAAGATCAATTTCATGCTTGGGTCATAAGGTACAGGGTTATGGCAATTATGCAACCATCACCTGTCTATCTTAGAAAAGGTGTGCAAGTACACCTCTCTCAATGACATCATGCAAAACAGACAAGTGAATGTGCAAAATGCTGTTTGGACACAGCATCTGTAAAAACAGATCTTATGCACTACAATATTACCATAGAAAAAGATTTTTTTTTTTTTTGTAGTAAAAAGAAGGGTAACTATCCTCTTAGATAAAATTCCAAAGAAAAAACATTTTCATTTTTACAACATTTACAATGTTTCAAACATGGAAAGCTGGAGTGGGTGATGTGGTGTAGCAGGTAAAGCCACTGCCTGCAGTGCCTCATCTCATATGGGCACCAGTTTGGGTCCCGGCTGCGCCTCTTCAGATCCAGCTCTCTACTGTGGCCTGAGAAAGCAGTAGAAGGTGGCCCAAACCCTTGGGCCCCTGCACCTGCATGGGAGACCCAGAGGAGGCTCCTGGCTCCTGGCTTCAGATCAGCCCAGCTCCAGGAGTTGCAGCCATTTGGGGAGTGAAACAGCAGAAGGAAGATCTCTCTCTGGTTCTCTGTAACTCTGCCTTTCAAATAAATAAATCCTTAAAAAAATATATGGGGAGGCGGAAATTTTGGCATAAATCTCTATAGAACAAAATTTAACTATTAACATTTAAAAATAAAAAAAAGCCTAATGAAGTAATAAGGATACTTTAGAATTCAGAGAAACAAATTAAATGTATGAGTTTATTCTGGTGTTAACACAATTTCAAAATCCATACATAGTTTTTGCATAACACTGACTTCCCACTTCATGAATAAAAATTTTTGCACCAAAAACTTTTTGTGGCAAAATAAGTTCATACTCTTAATTACATTTTTCCAAGAAATTTCTTATATATTTGAGCAACAGCAGAGAGGAGAATCTATCTCGTCTACTAGTTCACTACCCAAATGCCTGAGAGCCATAAAGTCAATCCAGTGGGTAGCAGGAACACAATCACTTGAGCCGGAGCCTACTGCCTTCCTTATTATGCTTAAGCGGAAAACTGGAAACAGAAGCAGAGGTGGAACTTGAAACCTGGCATTCTCATGTGGGATACAGGTATCCTGAGCAGCATCAGTTGGTGCACTGAACACTCACCTCTAAGGGAGGCACCTTACCTGCTAAGTTGAATGCCCAGTCCCTGGGAATTTTTATGAAGTATCCTCATACGTGAATGAAAAATTTACGGCAACTTTTAAAGATTTATTTATTTAACTGAAAGAGTTACAGAGAAGCAGAGAGAGAGAGAGAGAGAGAGAGAGAAAGGGGACAGGGAGAATGAGGGAGGGAGGTCTTCCATCCACTGGTTCACTCCACAATTAGCTCCAACAGCTGGAGCTGACCTCATCTGAAGCCAGGAGCCTGGAGCTTCTTCCAGGTCTCCCACATGGGTGCAGGGGCGCAAGGATTTGGGTCATCTTCTACTGCTTTCCCAGGCCACAGAAGAGAGCTGGATCACAAGTGGAGCAGCCAGGACTTGAACTGGCGCCCATATGAGATAACGGTACTGCAGGCAGCGGGATTTACCCGCTACATCACAGTACTGGTCCCTAGAGCCACTCTTTGGTACAGTAGTTAGGATGCTGTTTGAGTTACTCACATAACATATCAGAGTGCCTGGGTTCCAGTCCCAGCACTACTGCTGATTCCAGCTTCCTGCTAATTCACATCCTGAGAGGCAGTGGGTGATGATTCAAACATGTGGGTCCCTGCTACCGACATGTGAGACCTGGGCTGAGTTCCTGACTTCAGCCTGGCCAAGTTCTGGCTGTTGGGGACATTTGGAGAATCAATCAGTAGATGGAAGAGCTCTCTAACTCTGTCTCTGTCTCTCTGCCTTTTAAGTAAGTAAAAATAAATGAAACTTTTAAAAAATGAGAAATTCTCAGAATTTTTTCCATGAAGAGACATTTATCAACTTCAAAAACACATTAAATTAAAATGATATTAAAATAACGCATAAGAAAAAAAAAATGAAGGCAAATATTTTAAATGTCAACTGTGTCTGAATACTTTCGCAGACTACAACAAACCAGGATTCCCTGCAAAAATGACTAACTCTGGAACTACAAGGTGTGGGCATTATGGCACAACAGGTTA